TCCTCACCGCCGATATGCAATCAGTCCTATTTGCCTTCATCCACACGCTCACCCAGAATCCCGGAGCCTTCGAAACTCTGGTACCCGCCCCCGGCCCATGCCGAGGGGAACATCGTCCCTTTCTCTCCGCCCCCTCCTCATCCGTTGGTCATGAATGTACGCAACGATGAGGGGGTCAGGGCTTAGGACACGGCCTCCCGTTCCGATCCTGCTTCCCCTCCCCGGGCTGGACCGGCCCCAGTGCGTAGACCTTCAGCCTTCAATTGGTTAGGGGATGCACACCGTCGGCCAGCATCGGAGAGGCTGACGGGACGGATGGGTCGACGTGAGCCTATCTCACCGAGGGAGAGCTTTGGGTCCGTATCCCGGACAGCGGATCGGCCCCGTCTTGACAAAGGCAAAGGCAAGCTACACGAGGAGGACGCACGCCACCACATCAATGCGGCTCGTAACCAAGCCCCCGGCACCGCCACAGCCGTCGAGGACCCTCAGAACGAAATCATCGCCCAACTTGAAAGAAGGCTCGCTCAGATAGAAGCAAAACAACTAGCCGCCACATCGGGGAATCCCGGCTTTGACGCCCTCATGAACAAACTCAGTGCTCTGGAGAGGGAATTCGCTGAGGGGCGCGGTGACCCCATCATACAGGTCAGGACCAAGAACCCCTTCACCACCAGGGTGCTCTCGGCCCCAATACCCTAGAAATACCGGGGAAGCACTATGAAGCCGTATGACGGCCGCACCGACCCCCACGAACAATTCAGCCGATACCAAAACAACATGTTGATGGTCAATGCATCTGACGAATATTTATGTCGTTGGTTCCTCTCCACTCTCGAGGGACCGGTGTACGAATGGTTCAACGCGTTGCCCGAGGGGAGCATAGACTCATGGCAAGATCTTGCCCAACGCTTCCTCACCCATTTCGCCGGAAGGAAGCGCGCGAAAAAACACTTCTCCACCTCCTCTCCGTCAAGCAAGAGCCTGATGAAACACTTCGGTCCTTCATTGACCGGTGGATGAAGGAGACAGACGAGGTCGAGGGCGCCGACGAGTGTACCCTCCTCGTCCTCTTCCAGGGGTTCTCCGCAGCAGCCCATATGCACGGAGCCTCATCACCGACCCCCCAAGATCATACCTCAAAGCACTCAAGCGGCCTATACGCTGACGCCGATGAACTCCACTCCTTCAAGAAGGACGGAGGCCAGCCCTCGAAGAAGACAAACAACACGCCGACCCTGAATGCGCCCTCGGCCAGGGGCCGAGACCATGGAAGCCACACCCAGCAGGGCTGGAACGACCGCCAATGGCACCCTCGGTTGGACAAGCCGAGGACTCCCCTCACGCACCCGGTGAGCACTATCATCAACTATGCGGAAGAGCATGACCTTTTCCCCAAGGACCCTCGGTCGGTGAGGGAGATCTGCGTCGTCCACCAAGGCGGAACTTATTGCCGTTACCACAAAAGCACCTCCCACAATACAGACGATTGTGTCTCGTTAAAGAAGGCTATTGAACTCTTAATTCAACGGGGTGAGTTCCACCAATTCGTCAAAAATGCCCCAAGGAAAAATGCCGGGGAGAACACTGATAAAAAAGAAGGGGACACCTTAACGAAGAAGCGTGAAATTGTGAGGTTCAGCGACGAGGAGGAGTTCGAGGAGCCCCAGCCGAAGAAGCGCCACCTCCGCTAATCATGTTCTTCGCCTTCAGCCTCAGTCTCAACCTTGAGCCCTCGACCTCGAGGCACATTATCATCCCCTCGGCCTAGAGCCCTCGGCCTAGAGCCATGTACCTTAACAAAGCTGTTTTCAAACAACGCACCCCTTGTATTCCGCTTATTTCTTATGAACTTAAGTAAAGGATGCGCACAATCCGGACATCTGATCGGCCCCTTTGAGGCCAAATTCTCAGGTATGGCCGGTGGTGTCCAAGGACGAGGGGCCTGCAAAAGGCCCGCTTTTTTGGAGCGGGACGCTCACCGCGTCGTCGGCGCGCAACGCACGGCGACAGGCCTGAAAGAATGGCTGAGGTGATGAAATCCCCAAACTTGGGGGTGAAACGGCAGTCGTCGGAAACTGACCAAGCCTAGCCCACGCCGTAAGTAGACGATGGGACCCCCCAAGGTCAAGGGACGGTTTAACGCCGGGGGACTAACAGACGAACCCCCAGACGGATCACTTGGACCCCCTTATGGACGAGGCGGGGAAGCAACCCCCTCGGCTGAAGCCTGAAAGAAGGAACACACATCAGGAGGACTAACATACGACCTCCTGACACAATCAAGGGATGGCCCAGCGCCGGGGGACTAACAAACGAACCCCCGGACGGATCACTTGGACCCCCTTTCGACCGAGGCGGGGAAGCAACCGCCTCGGCCGAAGCCTGAAAGAAGGAACATACACCCGGACGACTAACACGCGGCCTCCCAGAACTATCAAGGAAAGGCCCTCGGCCTCAACATGAGTCTACATCACAAAACGGACCTCGGCCTCAACCTGATTATACATCACGAACGGCCCTCGGCCTCAACGTGATTCTACATCACTAACGGCCCTCGGCCTCAGCGTGATTCCACATCACAACGGCCCTCGGCCTCAACGTCACAACGGCCCTCAGCCTCAGCGAGACCCTACATCACGAACGACCCTCGACCTGAACGTGATTCTACATCACAACGGCCCTCGGCCTCAACATCACAACGGCCCTCGGCCTCAACGTGACTCTACGTCACAACGGTTTTCGCCTTAGCGTGATTTCACATCACAAACGGCCCTCGGCCTCAGCAAGATTCTACATCAAGAACGGCCCTCGACCTCAACGTGATTCTACATCACCAATGGCCCTCGGCCTCATCGTGACTCCACATCACAACGGCCCTCGACCTCAACATCACAACGGCCCTCGGCCTCAACATGATTCCGCATCACAACGGCCCTCAGCCTTACATCTCTCCGACATCAAATATCTAATGTCGGGGGCCATCACACAGGTCCCTCAGCCTTCATCCCTCCGGCATCTTTATTTGATTTCGGGGGCCATCATACAAGCCCCTCGGCCTTCATCCCTCCGGCATCTTTATTTGATGTCGGGGCTATCATACAGGCCCTCAGCCTTCATCCCTCCGACATCTTTATTCGATGCCGGGGGCCATCATATAGGCCCCTCTGCCTTCATCCCTCTGACATCTTTATTTGATGTCGGGGGCCATCACACAGGCCCCTCAGGCCTTCGCCCCTCCGGCATCTTTATTTGATGGCAGGGGCTATCATACAGGCCCTCGGCCTTCATCCCCCGACATCTTTATTTGATGCCAGGGGCTATCATACAGACCCATCGGCCTTCATCCCTCCGACATCTTTATTTGATGCCAGAGGCTATCATACGGGTCCATCGGCCTTCATCCCTCCGGCATCTTTATTTGATGTCGAGGGCCATCACATAGGCCCCTCGGCCTTCATCCCTCCGACATCTTTATTTGATGTCGGGGGCCATCACACAGGCCCCTCGGCCTTCATCCCTCCGGCATCTTTATTTGATGCCAGGGGCTCTCACACATGCCTACCTGGCCTTGCACCCCTCCATCACCTTTATATGATAACGGGGGGTCCTTACAGGCTCCTCAGTTTTTTCATGCAGGATCTAAGGCTGGTCTTGGATATTCACTCAGCGGACGAACACAACCACCGCTCAACAATCTAGGCCGAAGGGTGCATTCCTTTTGCTTCATTCTAGGGGCATCCGGTGTACTCTTTTTCCCTCATTAGGATTTTTTCCCACAGGGTTTTTTCCTAATGAGATTTTTAACGAGGCATCTCCCCATTGTGGAACAAAAGGCGTCAGCCCTCGACGGCTCCTGCTAAAGGCATGCATCACTCTACTCATGTTTCCCTCGAGAAACTCTCAGCAAAAGGAGTGGAGGATTGCGGGACTCCCCTCGGCAAAAAACGCAAATGTTAAAAATTTTCTATTTCTCAGCTACAGCAAGCTGAGGCAAGATGACAACGACAATCTACTCCCTTCAGCAAAAATAATCAAACTTGAAAATTCTTATTCTTCAGTTTCAGAAAGGGAGCCATCAGCAACTTCAAGACACTACTCCTATTTCCTTCGAGAAACTCTCGGCAAAAGGAGTGGGGGACTCCTGATGGAGTATATGGTCAGGGACACCTCGGCCCACAGACTCCTGCTTCTTTTACACAGGCCCATCAAGCCCGATGAGCACACAAAGCCCAAATGTAGCGACCCAAGCATGAAGAAGCCCACACTGCACACGTGGATGCCTTCGGCCCTATGGCCGAGAGCTCCAAATTCTGGGAGACATCTTAATATGATCCTGCAAAGCTTCTGGAAAATCCTGGCTAAAATATTAGCCTTCGGCCACTCGATGCCTTCGGCCACACGATGCCTTCGGCCACACGATGCTTTCGACTACACAATGCATTCGGCCACACGATGCCTTCAGCCACATGATGCCTTCGGTCACACAATGCCTTCGGCCACATGATGCCTTCAACCACACAATGCCTTCGGCCACATGATGCCTTCGGCCACACGATGCCTTCGTCAACAGAACTATCGACGAAGATTTCTTTTAGAGACAGCCAACCACCGCATTTAATACGACGTCACATCCGCCCACCGCATTTAATACGATGCACATGCATATGTCGGTGCCACCCCGGCCGATTGAGGTGACCCCTCGGTCGTTAGATTGTTGACGCGTGTACTCTCATCGCATTTATATCTGCTATATATAGTAGCCCTTATTCACCTTGTAAAACACACAACGAGTTCATTTAATACATTTTGACTCTCTCTCTCTTACTTGTTGCTTTGACTTCTCTCTAGTTATTCTCCGCAATAACCCCTCAGATAAGTTACCTTCAGGTACGCTATCCGTCATTAATTTGGCATACGAATTTCTAGACTACTCTAACTTGATTTACTAGTTTGACTTTATTAGCTAGGTAGTAAGAAACTATTTTTACCCTCTTATATTATTATCACAAGGATTATTATTTTGATTGATGATAAAATCTGTGATCGAGCACTAACAATCGGTTAGGCAGAAAAAATAGACACCTCAACTTCACCATGTTCGGAACCATATATGGTCTTGGTTTGAGGTCCATACACAGAATCAAAATTCACATTTCCCTTAGCAATTTCCCTGTCATTACTATCACACAGAGAAACACTAATTGTTATCCCATCGTCCAATGGTACCACCACAATGGAACGAGTCAACACAATATCGTTCTTAGGGTAGACTTCAACGCACTCGTCCGACGATTTATCGAACAATGTAAGCGATGTCGATGAGCCTCCTATAAGTTGGGAGGCCTTGATTGTGCCGTAAACATGTGCCGGTTTTTCTCCACCATCCTGGCCGTGATTGAGCAGAACCACCGTGACAGTTGCACAGAGAGCATACTCCATGACGGAGAAACCCACCGCGGCACTGCCATGTTTGCCTGTCACAACCCTTTCCAAACGTTTGCTATAATTGGCGAAAGTTCGGTTCTCCACTCTTGTCTCCCAAACAACATCGCCTTGCACAATCTCGATGTCAGGATCCACCCCCCGTAGATTGACACTAATAACGGACCAGTCGTAACCACTAACACCACAAGGACGGTCAGGGCCAATTAGGGTCAAATCATCTCCCGGGCCTTTCTTCTCGAAGTCAACTAAACTCCGGTCGTACACCTTGTGCACGCCCATAAAGTCTTGGACATTCACTGTTCCGTACACGCCACCGACGGTAGGTTTGTCACCATGAACATTCAACACACGTATGTACTCGATGCTCATAAGTGCACGATGGTGTGAAATAACGCCCGGAACGGTCCAACTCATAATGTTGCCTGCATAAGATCAGAGCTGAGAGTCATTTGACACATACTAATGAACAATGATATTCACTTCAGACAAAACAGTGTATTAGAAAGTCGTTGTTTACTGCTACGTACTTCCTCTGTTCCATAAAAGTTGCAACATTGCAATTTCCGCACTATTCATACACCTTACTTTGACTACAATTTTCTATTAATATATATAATAAAAATATTATCTATAAAATATTAATAAATTTGTATTAATGTAAATTTTCCAATACATTAAGTTTTTTTTATTTTTACTAATACGTAAATAAATATAATCACAGTCAAAGTTATGCGTTGTCAAACGTGAAAGTCAAACTGTTGAAACTTTTATGGAAAGGAGGATAGTATAATCTTACTATATACGAAGGGAAGTGGAAAATCAGTCCACTTTCCCGCCTAAAGATATGGGGCAAAATATGGGTCGGGTTGGCTGAAGGGTTCTCCTGCTTCTATTATTGTATCGGTCAAGGTTATTAAATGTTTTTTAATAGCTGTCATACATACATTCGTAGTGCACAGTATGGGATGGGAATCGAGATGATATATGCGTGTTATTTACAATTGAAAGTTGCTTTATTAAAAAGATACACTCCAGCAGTCCAGCTCTCTGCCCAATGTTCTTCTTGAACTGAGTGAGTGTATTACAACTGTCTCTCGGTTGGATGGAGAACTGTAGTTGTAAAATAAATAATGAGCTCTACTTGAACACCAACGACGCCTTAAACCTCTGCAACAGGCAACAGATTATAGGAACCGATGGTGAGGCTCTGGAAATCGACGCCTTCGGACTCTGTGAGAACCATGGAAGATGCAAACGCATCCGCCTCACAGAGTCCTCAAGAAGATACAGCACGCACTCCTCCAGATTCACCTCAAAGAAGGAACGCTGCTTGCCCACAAACTGGCCAGAAGTTTACTGTGAGGTCATTTTTCGTAAATGTAGAGAAGACCTATGCATTTTTCTAAATGGGTGGAATTGGGTTTGAATTTTCTAAAGGTATGTTCCCCAAATTAATCAAGTTGTGATTAACACTTTGGTTTATGTATGTAGATTTGTGGATCCTCCCATTACAATTGTACTCTAACAAAATACCGAATCTAAGCGTTCTTGAAAAGATACATGGAAAACTCAAACAGTAAGCAATGTCTCTTCTGGTGGTGGGAGTTTTATTAATCGGAAGTTCTGTAGATAACTAGAAAAATTAGCATTCGCCAGTGGTAGAGAATGGAGAACGTCTCACCCAAAGGTCTCAAACGATGCTCAGAGTCCAGGAAGTACAAAAATGACGGGGATGACTCGGACCATCATGTTAAACTTGCCGGAAGAAATGTTCAGTTTTATCACAATTTACAAATGAAGATAGGTGGAACCAGAAGATCACATAAGCAAAAAAGGAAGGCAAAATTGTTTTTGGCAAAACTCATTTCTTCTTGCCTTCTTGGTGCGGTCCACGTCAAATCATTGCACCCCTATACTTTGATCTTTCTCACTTAGTCGCTTTTGATGTTGATGAGCTTAAGCTCAACAACCTGGGATATCATAGCAATTTCGACCTTCTTCCTTAAAAGCGGGCAAGAAATGACAAAATGGCAGTGATCGGCAAACTGGTGGGAGCTAACAAGCCAGAGCAAGATTGCATCAGTTGTAGACACCAAAGCTTCCCCGGCCCATAAATAAACATTTATGGATTTGGCTTTCTTCTTTAATTTCTGTGATTTTCTTAAATTATTTGTTTTTTTCTTTTATTAAAATTCAAGTGTATGCATATTGTCATATTGCAATGGTTAATGTGACTGAGGGTTTGGATGACACCTCACAAAAGCTCTTGCAAGAAGGTTGGTGAAATAAATGCTTTTTTTGCATATCTATATAATTAGCTGTAAGAAATTCTTTCTTTGTTGAACCTGTTTTCTATACAAATATGTACTCTGTATGTCAAGGTTGATCGTGCTTTAAGCTTTGTGTGGGTTTTGTATCCATGTTGCTTTGTTTCTCCAAAGTGGTAATGGTCTCTTATACTTTTTCTTCTTAGTTTTTCAATGACAGTAAGAAAATATTAAGTGATATGTGGCACTGTGGCAGTGTGGCAGGAATGAGCAGGATTTCTTGATGCAATTTCACACATGTCAAAAAAATATCACGAGTAGTCTTTTTCATATGAATTGAAGTTGATGGCTAACAAATTAAAGGTGCATTCGTATACTATTGCAACGATTCTTTTTGCATATTCAGAGTCCATTTCATAATACTCGAATCATATGAATTGGTTGTTTCTATTAACGAAAAAACATATTTAAAATATGATTTATTAATTAAAAAAGAAAAAATTATATGAAAAATAACTAAAATGATCCTCTACATTAACTTCAAATAATACAGCCAAAAAATAAATAAAAATCATACCTTTTCTTATTATTAGATAATCTAACGCGCAAAATTAAAAGTTACGTAAGTGGTGAAAAAGTTGGTTGATAAGCTCAATAAGCCGAAAAACAAGGTTACTAAACAAGTTCTTGAATGTTAATGCGCATGTAAGATTCACGCGGGTGATTATAGTAAACATGGAGTACTTTAATGCTCAAGTAAAAGTAAGTACGAGTTTTATGGAACGGAGTCTGTGTTCTAAAAGGCGTCAAAACGCGGGGTAGATGTGCCTAGGTGTGAGGCAACGAGAAAACGTCATGCATAGTAGAAAGACATTGAAATAGCGGTCAACTGAATAGTTGACCACAAAAGGCATGAAAAGGCGAAAACTCAGGTGCGAATGGGCGAGAAAAGAGGAAAGTTTTTTAGATAGGTTATTTTTTTACAAAGAAAAAAATGATTAAATGTTAAAAAAACTTTGATACACATGTTATGGACTTATATATGGTATCTAATACCAGTAGTAAAAAACAATAATATATTATTTTGTATTTATAGTTTTTATACATTTAAAATTATATATATTGAACAAAATAAAGATTAAGCTCAACCTTATACAATAGTATCTTTTTGTTTTGAACATCTAATATTTTTTGGTCATATATCATTATAAAAACTCCTTAGTAATTATTCGTAGAAATCTTAAACACATTTTCTCGCCTAAGTTTCAAAGACTTAAGACTTGACCTTGATTTCTTGCCACGCCTCACGTCTTTTAGAACACTGAACGGAGGGAATATATATATTTATGTTTCTTTGATAACTTCTTATGTAATGGATTATAACTTTTTTCACTACTAAGATTAACAAATAGTAAAAAAAACTTGATGCTTAATTTTGATCCGTGCATAGCACGGGTGAAAATCTAGTAAAATAAACGGAGAGAAATATATCAACCGCTCAGGGGGGCAGGCCATTCAACCTCATCACTTGCAGGTTCAACTCACTTCAAACTGAGTCGATTAAAATTGCGGTCAAATAATAGCATCAGACGGGATAGATTACTAGTTCATCTGGCCGATCAGATGCCGGAGATCTCCCATAAAAAATACGGAGTATCAGTCTGCCGAATTAACTTATACGGAGTAGCTTACTGATAGTTCGAAATTTCTCAGTTTACACCTGTTTGGTTAATTCCCAGATTTGTTCCATTCAGCAATCTTCGACTGACAAGATGCTTATGAGCATCTACATTTAAAAATCCAACCTTGGACGAAAACTGAACAAACAAAACTCAAAACTGGAAAACAAATTCAACTTACAAATCATAAATGGATATTGTAAATTTGCGAAAGAAATTCAAAATATACATTAAATACCACAAATTTTGTGATCAATATACTCGCAATTTGCAAAATAAACCGTTCGATGAAGAACTAATCGTATCTCGGCTGAAATCAAGAGATGCTTTTGTTCATATGAAATCGTACCAGCGGTTGCGGCGAGAAATGGAGTCTGAGCAGCTGCTTTGAAGCGGTGGAAGCAGGACGATATGGATTATCCGGTTATCGGACCACCTTTATATCGCAAAACTGGGTTAGTGCCTCTTTTGGTTTCTCCTCCGACCAGTGAGATTAAATTAAATTAAATTCCTAATGTGAATTAATTAATGGGGTTTAAGACAAAATAACTCTTTTATTGACTTTCCATAAATGTGTTTTTTCAAAACGTGTCAAAAAGAAAATTAATACTCCCTCCCTTATCCATTATCTGTATAGCCTTTGAGACAGGTTTTACAACAACAACATCCAAGTCTTAATCCCAAAAGAATTTGGGGTCGGCTAACATTAATCGATCTATGATATCGATGCCAAAAAGAGAAGGCGAACAAGAAAAGGAAAAAAAGTAAGATAAAATGAATAAAATAAAGATACATAAATATAAGATAATAATAACACAAGAATATAACAAAGATAAAAGAAAAATAAATAAAAGAACATAAAAAAGCTGGAAGATAAAAATAACATAAGAATATAAAAAGATAAGGAAGATAAACGATAAAAGAAATAAGAGAGGAAAGGTAGACAAGACATCAATCGTCCACATGGATGTGCGCCCTCCACTTTGCTCTCTCCAAAGCCATACTCTCATCCAACCCAAGAAGACGCATATCAGTTCTGATTACTCTAATCCAAGTCTGTTTGAGTCTTCTCCTCCCTCTCTTCTCTGACTCTTGTCCTCACCCCTCAAGTCGTCTAACAGGTGCATCACTCGGTATACTGAGTAAGATAAAAGGTATACTGAGTTGTGTTTAAATGAAAAAATAGGAAAGAGAATTAAAATGTAGAAAAAAGAATGATGGTATAAAAGTATATTTATTGGAAAAAAATCTAAAAATGGAAAAGGTGACATATACCCCCTCCGTCATGCAAAGAACTTCCTGCTTTCCTTTTTTAGTAGTCCCAAAAAGAAGTTCCCATTTCCCTAAATGGTAAGTTATCTACATAAAACAATGCCAAACAGTGTAAAACAGTGTCTAACAGTGTCAAAACAGTAAAATTTACCCCCTAGTAAGTTTATTTCCTTAATATGTGTGTAGGTCAAACCGGAAAGTTCTTTGGAGGACGGAAGGAGTATTTGAGAACATCACAAAATGGAAAGGAAGACAAGTCTTGGAGAACGGATGGAGTACTCGGTAATACTTTCTCCGTTCTTTTTTAGTTACAACATTCTTTTTTTCACGCTTGTCAATGCACAACTTTTATTATCATTATATTTAACTCTATTAGTAAAAAAACTTTTAAAAATCAAATTATGAAACTTCGTAACGAGACAAATTCAATAATATTTTTCAAAGAAATAATTCACATATATTAATGAATAAAATGTATTCAAAATAGAGTACATAAATAGTGTGTAAATTCCAATGAAAAATGATGCTTGTCATTTCAATATAATATAGGAGAACTGATTCAATGTTTGTCATTTTTATTTTTTCTTAATAATAATAAAAACTAGTGAAGTACTCATGAAAATGAGCTTTGATTTTCAAAATTCGAACAACTTAAAATGGAAAACGTATTTTCCGGTTTTAGTTTTTCAAATTTCCATTAAAAACAAAATACTTTACTTTAGCTTAGGTAATTGGGTATAGATCTGTCCCCGATTCGGAACTGAACCACTGATTCGCGGTTCCGGAAACTATGAAACATGAAGCTATGAAACCGGAACCGGAACCACATAGTAGCGGTTCTAGTCCGGTTCCGAACCGGCGGTTCCAATTCCGATTCCGAATATAGTCCGGTTCTTCGGTTTTTGTTTTTGTTTTTTTATATTTTTATTCATTGATAGTATTTATCTGTATTTTATTAAAATATTAAAGATATAATAATAATGTATTTTTATTTTTCATATTTAAGAGTTTTGTTATTCCTTAAAACAGAGTAAGTATGATGTAATAAGATTATTCAAATAAAATAATTCACAACAATTGTTTATAATTAATAGTTACAATTTTTATAATGAAGTATAATAATTAGATAGTTAACAACTAAATAGATATAAATTAGGTTATGTGAATGTACAAGTTTGAAATACTTTGGTAATTAGTAAATTTTGTACACTTATTACTATAATTTGTAATAAAAGGGGTTGTATAACCGGTAGTGTGTAAAAGGTTATACCTAAAAATTATTATTTACAGAGTATAATTTTCAATTTAAGTAAAACAACTATCACTACTAGTCAACTACTACTACTACATAATGATATTTTTTTTGAAAAGAAACAAGTTTATATTAAGATCAACCAAACAAGAGTAACAAACATTTCCCATGACCTAAATCTCCCTCTCTCCAAACACTACCAAAGCCCAATGGCCCTCTCCCGTCATGACCAGACATAGAATAGTCTACCCCGAAAAGAGCGAGACTAATCGCTGAAACAATGAGAGCATAGAGACTATTAGCGGCTGAATCAGCCTGATTGCCTCCAACCAAAATACTACCTGCTAAACAAAACCACCACACATACCCTTCCCCCTTATTGTACAACGAAATAAAGACACCAACAACAAACAAATTCAATCTCAAAAGAAATAAGCAAAAAAAGTAAAACTTCAACTTTTGGAACTCTTTGCATCCACTTCTTTTGAATCCTCCATCCATGGCGGCGACTCAGGAGGGGGGGGGGGGGGGGGGGGGGGTGACTCATACTTCATCCTCTTCCTCACCATTTTTCCTAGACAGCACGAATTTTGCTATTCCCTCCCATTCGACACCGAGGAAATGCCACCCTCGAACCAAACTGCCAGAACTCTTCTCAAAGCTTGCCTCCATTCTCGAGCCAAAACTGCCGACAGAAAGACAACTAAAGATCACCAACACCAAAGCTTCGCAACCTGTCCTGTGCAGGAATACTGCAGCTTCGTTGAAGATTTGTCGCCTATTCTTCGTCGTGTACACGAACCGTCGAGCGATTGGGAGATCGCTGACCCCAAACTGATCGTCGGTGTAACACTTGAGATTTAATTTAAACGGATTAATAGTACTACTCATACAAACAGAGGTGCATCTCCTTTTAAGGGAGTTCATCACCCAAGAACTCCAAAGTTAAGCGTGCTTGCACGGGAGTAGTCTTGGGATGGGTGACCCCCTGAGAAGTTTCTCAGGGCGCGCACGAGTGAGGACAAAGTGCGCGGAAAAGGCTAGTGGCGGTTTGTGAGGACAGTACTAGAGGTCTGGAGTAACTACCTCGTGGCCTACGGGGCCGGGGTGTTACAGTCGGCTAAACCCTAGCCGCCCTTACTCTACAAAGTCGACACCTTGGGACTGCCGAAGACCTCCAAAAGTCCAAAGCTGAGAGAACCGAGACCGAGACTCCACAAAAGAAGCCCGAAGAACGAAGGCCACACCCCAAACGGAAAGCGTCGGCTACTACTACATAATGATATTAGTAATGTTATTATAATTACTATTATTTATGTATTTAACTTTTATTTATTTTTTATTTAAAAAATTTTAAAACGGTTCCGAACTGGAACCGTCTGTTTCTGAACCGGAACTATCCGGTTCCAGTTCCCCAAAATTCGAAGAACCGAACCGTTACCTAGAAGCTTAGGTTCCGAACCGTAAGCTGCCCCCGGGTCCGATTCCGGTTTGAAAACCGCCGGTTTCTTGTTTCGGTTCCAGTTGAACCGAAAACCGGGGACATGTCTAGTTGGGTATACGACTATTGTTAAAGTTATGTTCTACTCCGTAAATTATTCGGATCATATATATAATTCCTTAAAACGTAATTGTAAATAAATAAAAGTAATATTGCAAGAATAGGAGCATGAAGTATAAATTCTCAGATAAGAGTCACTCTATATTAAAATATGATTTATTTGGTTCTAATAAAAACATAAATATTCCATCTCATGTTTGAGGTCAAGCGTCTTGTGATTCAATTACATTACTGTGACACTATCAAAAAGGAAATTACATGTTCGAAACTCGTATCAATAAAAAAATGTTGGCATTTAATAGGACATATGCTATAATATACTCCCTACGTCCCATAAAATAAGTCTCATTTCAATTTGGACCGGAGTTTAAGAAAGTGGGAATAAAGTGGAAATGTATGGTTGTGATTGAGTAAGAAAAATGTAAATGAATGTTAGCCACACAAAACTTTCCAAAAAGGGAAATGGGAACAATTGTTTGGGACGGCCCAAAAAAGAAAATGGGACTTATTTTATGGGACGGAGGGAGTATTAAAAAGTATAGCCTAAGAATGGTCTCATCTTTTCAAAAGAAAATGATAAGTCTTATTTGTGAACTTAATATGTAATATAGAGTATGTATTTATGTATTATAGTCTTAATTAAAAGAATCTATAATTTTTATGGTATCACCTATCGAGTTCTCTAAATATTACTCTGTCCATCCCTGAATTATCTTCTAAATTTCTCTTTTATCCGTCTCAATTTAATTTTTTATTTTCTCTTTTGACAAAGAATTTGTGAATCAAAAGATTTCTTACATATTTTTACACATTTTTTTTATTCCATTACATAATACTCCGTACTCTGTAGTCGGTATCTAATCTCATGCTAAATGTATTTGGGAAATAATTTAAGAAGAGGACTCGGTATTTCTTAATGGATCATCAATATACTATGCTGATTTAGGGTGTGTTTGGAACTGATTTTTCTTCTTTTTTAAAGCAGAAGCAGAATCAGAATCAGTTGTTAGAAGTTGGTACCCTCAGCTTCTTAAAAACTGATTCTAGAAGTAAATTAGAGCACCAGAATCACTTATGCATTTTCATCCAAACACTCTAACTTCTGCTTATGCTTCTGCTCCTTCTACTCCCTGAAGGAGCGGAAACAATTTTAAAATCAGATACAAACAATTTTACACAAGAATCGCAACAACAAATTAATCAAATAGTCTAAAGTGATTTTCTATTGAAAATGAGTAGAATGGATGAAGTCAATTGATTGAGCTGCAACAGGTAGAATCCCTCCGTGTCTGCACGGAGTACAATACCTACAGCCGGCCAATAATCAAGGCCGAGGTGCTAAATGAACCGTACTCCGCCGTAGTTCTCAACAAAAGTGAAAAAGACCTTGCCGGGAAAACAAGAATGCCCGGTCCGGGTCCGCACATGATATACACACTCGGATCTGGCCTGGCCTTGATGAGCACATCCAACGGCCATTTCAGCCCTCACCACTGCCTTACCTACTCCATCAATGCTTTCTTCGGGCCGGACATTGGCTCCTTCTGCGAGTGGTTGTCTTCTACACTCGGGCTAGGTGGGGATTTAAGCTCGTCAATTGAGCCATGGATCCACGACCCTTTCTACTATTTCATCATTCTGGGCTTCCCACTTTCTCTGCTCTACAGCTGGGCCTCCAAGTTCCTCCTCCGCAAAGGCTTTCTTGATTCCATTTCTGGGGTCTGCCTTAAAGCTCTAGAAACAAACTGTATGTAGCCTAAGAAAAAAGTCATCTTTATATATGCCAATTTGGACTTAACTCTATTTTCTGTTGCAGGTTCCTCTTACAAAGATGCAGTGTTTTTTGTTGGTGGCTGCTGGTTCTTTATCACATTTTTTCTTGGACCATTTGTTTGAGGTAAAACTTGTCACTCTTTTCCGATTACATTGTGACAACAATTATTTGAGCAGCTGCTGTTTGTTTAATGTGACTAGCTAGTGTGTTTATTTTATTTGAAATTACTCCGTATAATTTGTTTTTTCTAGACAATTAAAGATGAAGAAGAATGGTTTAAATAAAAATATACAATGGAGCCTCCTTAGCCCAAAAAGGAATCTCCTTTGACTAATGAAGAAGCTTTTTTGTAAGGCACTAGTATCAGAAATATAATTTTATTTTCATAATTGATTTACTTGGTTAGCTAAATTTAGCAGATGTAATTTGTTTGCGACTCTTTTTTGTCATTTCATTGACAAGTCACATGAAAAACAGATTTATTTAACTTAAGTAGACTCTTTTTGAGAAAAAATATGCATTTGGAAGAGGATTTTTTCGGGCGGAGGATCTAATATGATATATCTGATAGAGCAATGTTTAAGGTAAATGATATGTTGGGGTTTAGGGTTTCCTTAGAGCGATATTTAATGAATCAAAAGTGGATTTTGTTATTGTGATCATGTGATGTAAACAGAAAGATGTTCTTTTGTTTTTATTAAAATCTTTCCACTTTTTGTACCTTAATCAATTCCCTATAAGCTTTAGTTAGAATATCCAAAACTTGATTTTCATCTTTCATTTAGCAATTATGTAGCATCAAAAGTTATCCAACCATTAGTATTTCCCCCATTATGTGTATTTACCATTTATACAGCCATCCAATATCAGAGTTCTTTACAAGCAGTGCTTTAACACATGAGATGTGACATCAGTGAGCACAAATGTATGAACAGATGCATTTGATCCTGTCAAGTGTGTTTTCAAAAGCATAGTTCAGTCCTGATCATCATGTTCCAGTGATACTGATTGTTGGCAACAAAATGGACTGTTAGGCTAGTGATGGAACTAATTTAAAAATGGAAAATTAACAATCTGTTAGGGATGCTATGAAGCTAAAAATTCCATATTATATACTAGTATCTTGCAGTTTGGTTAAGGGATCTCAGGTTATTTGAGAAGGGAGAGATTTTTGGGGGTGAAAGCAAAACTGCTTGACATAAAATTGCAAGTGATGGTTATTTTGTCGCCTTCTTTTCCTTGGTTTTTTCGATGAAATGAAAACATAGTATATGTAAACTTTTGTTCTTCCTTGAGTGAAATTTTTGAAAGAACACATAAAACGAGGCAAGCTCATGAAAATTATGACTACATATGAAGTAGAATTATGTTGGAGTAGGACTCCATTTCAGTTAGTTAGTTTTTAACGCCCTGTAATATTAGCACAACTGAGATTCACTATTAAGTTTTTGTTTCTCATGCAATATGAAGAAGTTATCTTACTTGTTTTCCCATTTTTGCCATAACTGCTTGAAACAGGAAAATGGGCATTCATCCATGTATACTTGGATATTGAGCACAGGTTGGTGGAAAGGACGAGCTCCCATCAATCCGGTTGCTGTTGTAATAATTAGCCTTCTGTGCATATTATTGATCGGAGGCTTTGTGTATATTAACAGGTCTTTTTCTGTTTACAATTGTGCAAAAGATTTTTTACAGTTCAAAAATATAGTTAGTTGTTTAATGCATCCATCCTTTCTTTTTTGTTTTCCTCCTGGTTGATATCCTGCAGGGTGAGCCCCTCAAAACGGCTTAAGAAACAGTGCTATCAGTCGGCGAGACTCATCCTGGCAATTGCTAGCTTGTACTGCTTATGGTGTGGAAGCCAAATTTACGTGATCAACCCTCGCCGGCCTGCAGTCGGTGAAGAAGCTGATTTAGGTGTTCTTGTGTTTCTTGGTGTTTATTTTTTCCTTCCTCAGTGGCTGTGCATTCTCTCTATGAATTCAAGGAATTCCCAGGGTGCGGAAATGTTGCCGCTTTAAACTTGATGACCATACTAACAAATACTCTCTCTAAGCTCTAAGCGCAGTCAGGTTCTTTCTGCACTAGTTTTGTATATCACTAGCTTGTTGAAAGCAAATGGCAGCTCTGAGGCTCTAAGCTTAAGTACAAAGTGTACAATTGTTCTTTTGTGTCCAACAAACAGGGGCACTCTTCTTTTGAAACTACCGGTAATGTGTACCATTGTGCCTATGAGAGCATTAATTGTCATTTGTCATGACTTAAATGGCTGAGGGCATGCCGTAATGGAGTATATTATTTATCATAGACATTAGACCATACCAGGGCAAGGGTACATTACTCGATCATGATAACCTTTAATACGAGTTATCATGAATTCATGACTAGTCGGCGGTGATTGAGACTTGGACTTTACCATATGCACCACTTATGGTAGAGGAGATGGTTCCAGGAGCAGAGGGGTGAAAGGTTACACTGCCGGCGGCAATTTCATCATCAGCTGAGACTGAATCATGATCATACAGATACGCAGATATGGTCACCCCATCATCCATTTGAACCACCACAGCCGATCGAGTCAACGGAATTTCTTCCTGGGGGCTGACTTCAATGCAGTCACCTGCCGATTTCTCAAACAAAGTGATCAGTGATGGAGAACCGTCGTCTGCAGGTACGGAGGTAGCTTTGATGGTTCCGTACACATCTGCGGGTGATTCTCCGTCTCCGTCGATCAACACCACGCTAACAGTGGCATTCATAGCAAATCTTGTGACGGAGTAACCAATCGCAACGCTGCCGTATTGTCCTTTCACCACCTTCTCCAAAAGCTTGTCGTAGTTGGCGAACGTTAGATTCTCATTTCTCGGTTCCCAAACAATGACTCCCTCTGCAACCTCGTCGTCCGGTGACAAAGCGTCGTGGTCTTTTAAACTCACACTAATGGTGACTGAATCGTCGGCGTCAATGGCACTTGAAGGACCGATCAGTGTTATCAATCCTTGTGGATATACCTCTTCGGTGTCACCTGGACAGACATTAATATATCAAGAAAAAATTCTTCATTTGAATAATATAAATGTTCTAATAAGAGCTGCACGTAGTAATAATGTACATACCGGAAGCCCTGTCATACACGGTGTGTTCCCCCCAGAAGTCAGTCACCTTTATGGTACCGTACAGGTCACCGGGACTCTCTCCATCAATGTTCAACACACGTACATAATTGACGGTGAGGAATGTACGGAAATAGGATGCGCCGGCAACGGTTTTGGGGATGGCGGCGCGTTGTTCCTCGGCAAGGAGCATGAGGTTGACATGGCGGCCCTTGTACAGCATGATCACCAGTGCAACCGCGGCTTGACCCACAGTCCAAATGTTTATGGGATTATTTGTGGACGGGATATTAGGCAGGGGCGTCAGGCGTGGCCGGAGTCCAACAGGGCTCCTCCGCCCGCTACACGGCGCTGGACAGAGTGCCCCAATCGTTCTGAAGCAACACGAGTTCCTCGGGTAGCTGAGCAGAACTGCCCCAATTTGTGGCGATGTGTTGGGTGATGGACTGAAACCTGATCGACTCGGGAAACATTTGAATCAAGCGGAGCAGCGCTTTGGCGCACCGTGACACGACGTCGCCGCCGGTGGTCGGGTCTTCGGTTCTTGCGAGGTTACGAATATCGTCCACCAGATTCTGTTGACCCAAATATATCTTCCGGCGAGTAGTTCCGGCAACACCAACAAGTGTGCTGCCAGAATCTGTACGGCTCGCGTAGCTCCCGCTGTAAGTGAGGTGTCTGGATCCCGGAATCAGGGAAGAATCTGAAAACTCCCAGAATGTTTGGCCTTCGTCTCTGGAATATCCACGCACGTATAAGTTTCTCCTGTCCATTCTTAAGATGATGGTGTCTTCACCAGAAGTTATGTGGAGATCCAGCCAGCTCAAGGGCTGTGTCTGTGGCATCAACACTGGGATATTATGGGACGTTGAGTCTTTTAGTGTTTCCCTTAGCTTAGAAATAAATTCTTGGTAGTCATCTTCATACACATCAAAATAAAATGAAATATCTTTACCTACCATTCTTTTGTTGAAGATAAAGTATTAAAGTGAGAGATTTAAAAACACAATTGTGCTCCAAACGTTGATGGTATTGAGGTATTTATACACCCTCCAACATCCTTCGAGCCAGGGGTGGACTCGGGTCGGGCCACCCGGCCCGTGGACCGGCCCGGCCCGCGGACTGGCCCGGCCCACTACTGTGCGGGACCGGGACCGGCCCGATTCTCGGGTCCGGGTCGGGCCTAGACCCGGGGGGTAGGGCGGGTCCGGGCTCGGGTCTCAATTTTGGTGAACCGGCCCGGCCCGATCGGGCCCGGGCCCGGGCCAAATTGATTTTTTTTTATTTTTTTTCATTTTTGGGGTTCCACCCGGGTTGGCCTTGATGGGTAGGATGGGTTTGGGGGGGTTTGGGAGGGTGGGGGGTGAGGGGGGGGGGGGTTAGGAAAGCAAAAAATAAATAAAAATAAATTCCAAACCGGAGGCCCGGCCTGGACCCGGTGGCTACCCGGGTCCACCATTCTTGAACCGCCGGCCCGGACCCGAGTCCACCCCTACTTCGAGCACATCAAATACTCCATTATGCGTGATGTATATATGAACCGAGAAACTACGTATAAATTGGCCTGACAGAGCCTCCTATATAAAGGGTGAATTGCACCTTTTAAATTAGTTCGAGAGCCTATTTGACTCTTTAGCCCGTATAAATTCAAAAGAATAAATTAATGATATACTATCGTATTTCTTTTGTTCTTTCTATTGAGAAATTTTAAAAATCCACTCTTATTTTTGCTTTCTCCCATGATTTACTCCTTGTTATAATACTCATTTCAATTCACTAAACTTTGTAATTTGTACTTTACAAAGTTGAGTGAGCATAACATTTAGAGGATCAATAATGTGTACGATGCACATGTGGTATGAGAGAGATATACATTCCTTTTCGTAGTTTTATATAATCTATATTAATATAAAAAGGGAAACCAAGGCATACCACAATAACCATTCCAGCCCTAAAAGTCACGTCTGGACAACTATACGGGGGCCATGGTGCTTAGAAGACCCAATATGCATCATATACATTGTGTCATTGAAGATGTTCTAAAACCTTTTACACTTTACATGCTGGTTACCCTTGTAAATTAAAGTGATCTAGGTTCTTTAATTGGATTGATTTTAATTTCAATGTGTAAAACCTTTTACACTTTACATGCCGGTTACATTTTCTTTTTTATTATTTACGTTTGATAGTAATTTGAGGGTGACTTTGGTAATTGCCCAATGTGTAATTGTCCAATTGCAAGTGTCTATATATCTTTTGCTTTTGAAAGGAATGTGTATCTATTTTTTCACCTAGCATTGATGATTATGGTTGCTGGCATGCAACTGTCGCATTTTACCTGAATTTGGGTTATGATTATTTTGAAGATCATGTCTGTATGCAACTCCTGGGGTCAGGCCTAAATTATTGTCCTTTTTGTTGTATTGGTTAGGTTTGAACTTAAATTTAAAATTTAATAATTCAGATTCATTTACAAAATTAAAAATTATTACTGCTTATGATAAACTTTTTAAAAGTCTTGTAAAAATTTAACTTTTAACTTTTAAAAATTAAAAGTTTTTTATTTTTAATGGGTTCTAAGACACATTAATTCGAGGCCGGCGACGGCCTCTTAATGGCGCATCTTCAAAAAGTTTTTAAATCCCCAAATTTGTGGCTTGTGTTTGGAGATTTTATTTTTATGCTCGAGGCCGGCGAGTGCCTAGTTCGTCGGCTTCCCTCTTCCTTTTTGGACTCCTCCACTATTTCGCGTGAGCTGAATCGAGGGGGTCGCTAGTCCCTCGGCTAAATGGAGGTTTCCTAGTCTATTATGATGTTGGACCAGACTTTTAGTCAGTTTGTCTGACGGCTGTCGTTTTTTGTCCCTCAGCTTGATGATGGAGGGCCCTTCATACTTCAGGGCTAACTTCATGTCTTCTGTCGGCTTGCTGACCTCCAATCGGCAAAGGACATAATCCTGCACTTGAAATTCTTGGGCCTAGACTTTAGTGTCGTAGTAGGATTTGACTCATTGTATGTAGTTTTTTGCCCTGAGTTATGCTTGCTCGCTTCTTTCGTCGATGAGGTGCAAGTCGATCTTTATGTTTCCATCATTTGCTTCGGGGTCATATTGTTCGACCCGTCGGCTAGGCATGCAGTATAACTTCCGTGGGTACCTTTGCTTCGAAGCCGTAGCAGAGGGCAAATGGTGTTTCACCGGTTGCCCTCCCCAGTGTAGTGCGGTAGGACCATAGGATGTCCACCCAGATGCCTCCTTCGTCCTCGAGCTTCTTCCTCAAGCCTTCCAAGATGGTTCTTTTGGCGTCTCGACTTGTCTATTGCCTTCATGGTAGGTGACGGAGGAGAAGCTATACATGATACCCCATGCTTGGGGAGTTCTTGGAATGGTGTGGCCTCAAACTGAGTGCCGTTGTCTATTGCCTTCATGGTAGGTGACGGAGGAGAAGCTATACATGATACCCCATGTTTGAGGATGTTTTTGAGGACAAACTTCCGGCACTGCGCTTTAGTGATGCTAGCCAGTGGCTCTGATTCAATCCATTTGGCGAAGTAGTTTATGGCGATGATGGTGTATCAATTGTTGCCTGCGCCTCTTGGAAATGGGATTTTCGTGCTGACCGGGGTGTAATTGACTGCGGGGCGGCCAGGTGGGCGTTGATAGTGTTGGCACGCAGAGCACCTTCTTGCGACTTTAGCGTAATCTCGTACCATCGTCGTTCAGAAATAGCCCTGGACGATGAGGCGCCTAGACATGCTGAAGGGTCCAGGGTGTGATGAGCAGATGTCGCAATGCACTTCTTCCACCGTTACTTCGGCTTAATCTGGGTGCAGGCACCGGAGGAGGGTGCCGTTATAAGATCTTTTGTAGAGCTTTCCATCTTCTATGGTGTGTTTGGGGCCCTGAGCTTGGCTAATTTGGCCCTCCCCTCGTCGTCGGGTAATTTCCCGGATGTGATGAGGTGGTGATGTGTGTTATCCAGTCGGTTGGCCGTTGTTGTATGCACAAGATCGGTCTTGAATGGATCTTGACATGCTCAATTCTTCAACCTTGGCTATTCTGGAGATGTGCTCAGGAGTGTCTGAGCTGAGCTTGGAAAGTTTGTTGGCTTCAACGTTCTCTGTTCTTGGGATCTGGGTGATCTCACGAGTTTCGAAAGCCTTAAGCAACTCTGTTGCTGCTTCCTTGTACTACTTCATCCTTCCTTCTTTGGCTTCATATGAGCCCTCAATCTGACCCACGGCCAACTTGGAGTCGCATTTGATTTTGGTGTGTCGTGATTTGAGGCCGACGACGAGTCTAAGCCACTAATGAGGGCTTCATACTCTACTTCATTGTTGGACATCCTGAAGTTGAACCGGATGGCGCAGTACACTCTGAATCCTTCGGGGGAGATGAGGACGACGATGCCCCCACATGCTTTGGTGGCTGATGAACCATCAGTGAAGAGGGTCCATGCTTCCTCCAATTCGGAGCCAGAGGTGGTGACGGCTGCTTCTCTGGCCGTGCATTCGGTCACAAAGTCGGCCAAAGCTTGTCCTTTGATGGACGACCTTGGCTTGATCTTAATTTGATACTGGCTTAAGAAGATTGTCCACTTTACCATCCTTGAGGAGCTGGTTGGGTTTCACATTAAGGCAGGCACTAAGGGGCTGCTGTGTGAGGACATGGACGGGATGTGCTTGAAAGTAATGCGCAAGCTTCTTTACCATGTAGACAATGGCCAGTACCATCTTTTCAATGGGGGAGTACCTAAGTTCTGCCTCCCGGATCATCTTGCTGACGTAGAATATTGTCTTTTGCACTTCTTCATCCTCACGGATGAGCACAAAGCTGATGGCTGATGTGCTCACCCCTATGTAAAGGAAGAGCGTCTCACCGGGTTTGGGTTTTGAAAGGACGGGAGGGGAGGGGAGGTATTGCTTCAGTTCCTCAATGGCTTGTTGGCACGTTGTCATCCATTTGAAATCGACAGTCTTGCGCATTATTTGGAAAAAAGGGAGAGATTTCTCAGCTGATCTTGAGAGGAAGCGGTTCAGGGCTGTTAGGCGTCCCGTCAGCCATTGCACCTCCTTGATGTTCCGTGGTGGCTCCATGTTGATGATGGCCTAAATCTTATTTGGGTTCGCCTCCATGCTCCTTCGGCTGACCATGTAGCCCAGGAACTTACCTCCTTGGACGCCGAAGGTGCACTTTTTTGGGTTGAGGTGAAGGTTGAACTTCTTCATTATTTCAAAATGCGGAATAAATTAATGGATAAATTTTAATCTTTGTCTATGAGGAATAAATTCAATTGTTTAATATGAGAAATTTAATTAATTAATAAAGTTGACCATTTTGTTAGCTAAAATGCGGAAAGTTATATCTATCTTGTCTATGAGATTAGAATATAATTTAGGCCAACCATTTTAAACATATTAATGAAGCCTAGAAATAGGATAAATTAGTGAAAGTAACTTAAATCTTGTCAATGAGAAAAGAAATTACTAGTCCAATCTTTAATTATAAATACTCCTAATTATTAGGTCTGATGGATAGTCTACCCGGGGGTATGTATCTGAAGGGTTACTGCGGGGAGTAACTAGAGAGAAGTCAGAGCAAGCAAGAGAGAGAAAGTGTATTGAATATATGAGTGAAAAGTGTATTTCGAACCTGGTTTACAAAGAGGAAATGTGGTGCTATTTATAGTAGCAATAAATGCGAGAAGGGGACACGTGTCATGCATCCAACGGCCGAGGGGTCACATCAACCAGGTGTCACTGGCATTCGCATGTGGCCGCATTTAATGCGGCGGTTGGATGTGGCGTTGTACTTGGTACGGCGACCCAGACGCATGTGGAGAGGATATTCTTGTTGGGGAAGGTACCCTCGGCTGTAGGTGATTAGCCGAGGGCTCTTCCTGTTGAAGGCCCCTTAAGGCCGAGGGCTCCAGGTGCCGAGGGCTACTCTTTTTTGCCGTTTTTCTCCCAATAACTTTGTATGCTGAAAATAGCCT